TAAATTCATATATTTTCAAAATAAAAATACAAGAAAAATTGTTTTATTCTCTAATAATCATTTTTTCCAGGATAAAAAGCACATTTGAATCATATATTATTCAAGAATATACCATATTATTGGAATATTACTCATAATATGACTTCAAATAAAACTAAATTACAGAAATTGTCGTAAAATTTTCGAACGTTCATAGTAATCAGCTTCAGCCAATAGAATAAGTTAAACAGAATGAAATTCAGTGTACAGGAATTTTTTCAGAAATTAAATTCTTTTCACCTCAGTTACCTACGTTTACAATTGGTTTGCAGGTAATATAATTCTTCTTCTGAATGAACTTTATCTCTCAACTTGGATGATCATTTGATCCTAATAAAATATGATTGTGCAATTTCTTTGCAAAATATCCAACGGTAGCAATAATAAATGAAACTTTTCTAATGAAACTTTTTTAATAAATGAAACAAACAGTTGACAAGATATAAATGCACAGAAATTTATTATTTTCGATGAGATATGAAATTTTTATAATGTTCTTAATTATATCGTTTGTTATAGGTTATAAGGATTAAAATCATCGCTATATTTTTTTATATTTTTGATCAAGTATTAAAATTAAAAAAACGTGAATCGATATATAATAAAAATGCACAAAAAATGAAAATCCGGAATTCTCTTTTATTTTATCAAAAAAATAAAAAATTATTAAAATGAAATATAGAAATAAGAATATGCTTATTTAAATATCAAAAGAATTAAGATGGTTTATGAAAAATAATTATGGAGAAATCGTTATTAAGATAATATTTTATAAATTTAAATTTACATTATTAAGTTTAAACAATATTCTATTAGAAAATGCGATCGACTTATTGATTATTCGTTATGATATATGATAACAAGCGATTTTCAATATTAAACAAAGAATCGTGAATAAAAGCAATTATAATTATATAAAAGCAATTAGAATTTGTCCAAGAAGTGTGTGAATTTACCGTAATTGGACATGATCCAATTGTTCTAGTATAAATGCATACTTTTTCAGACCACCCCCAATGGAGAATGAATACTTTATAACAGAAATGTTTCTTTGATTAATCGTAAGCCAATTCGGGAAGGTCGACTTTGGCTAAGGAGATTGGAAAACATACTGGTCACACTACTGCTACTCCTTTTGCTGCTTTCTAGCACTCTGTCCGAGGAGCATCTACACATACGATGGCCTTGACCGTTTTCTCCGTGTGTGACACTACAGTTACACGCGCTTATATACAGGATGATGGAAAAAAAAAGAATTGATAAAAAGATAGATGATATTGCACTCCTTCATTCTTATTAGGTAACAAATAAAGAAAAAAATTCTAATATAACAATTGAGAAATTAGTATTTTTAAAGTTATAAACAATTGTGAATTATCTTGATATATATAAAGTATGTATGAGAATGGAAGAAAAAATATATCAAATTTTCTATAACTAGAAGAATAATATAATGATAATATGATAATGGATATAATAATATGATAATATGATGATGATAATATAATGACGTGATAATAATAATATAATAAGTAATAATAATATAATGACGTGAAAAATGATATAAATTAGATTACATTAAAAATTTAAAGATTAAAAGTCGTATTAAAAGTCTATTCATGAAGAAACCTAAATAAATTAAAAGAATGAATACTTTTTTCAAAACATTTGTTTGTATTTTCTGATAGTATTTGATAAATAGAAACATAATTGTTTTGAGTTTAGAAATACATTAATTTAAATAAAGAAATTTAAAATTCACCTAATTGGATTAGAACCTAATTTAATTCAACCGATATAAATAAAATAAAATGTAATTGAACCTAACCTAACTTAATCAATATATTTCGTATAAAAATGATACTTATAAAAATATACAGAAAGAAATGATGATTTTTAATTTCATCTTAAATAAAATTAATGAAAATTCTTCTTTAACAATTAATAACAATCATTAAAAATTTCTCGATCACTCTGTAAAATCAAATACATGAATAAATATCCAATTGCAGGCTCACAATCAAGATCACCGTTGTTCCGATATATAAGTGAGAACCTTCAGTTTGTATAATTTTGCACCAGAATTTTAATCGTTTGAAACAAGGAAAGTAATGCAAGCAGAAAATGACTCACTGCACAAGGCAAGTAAAAGGTTGGAGACCTATGATCGTGCAAGGTTTGTCCAAATAAGACTATATTTCTCATTAAATGTTAATATGTATTTTTCCATCTTCAATTCCTTATTTGATAATAAAAATAACCAATGATCTTGCAGCAAGAGAAAGACAAATCTACTTGTAACAATTTTAATGATAAAATTATTGCTTTGAGTTAACTTGAATTAATTGAATTAATTGAAAAAAAATACTTAATTGCAAAAATATACATATATTCTACATAATATATAATAATTATTGAATTGATAAGTCTTTATTATAAATTTTTGATACTATCTTTTGCGTTAAAATATAAAAAAAAATATTGTAACAATAAAATAGACAATTTTATTAATTTATTTTTATTTTATTAATTGCAATAATTATTTTCTATTAATTAAAATCTTATCGATAGAAAATAGAATTAGATAAGAGATACAATTTGATTAATAATTAAATAATTATGACTAATTATGATTAATATAAGATCATGCCATTAATCATGACTATTGACTATTAATAATCAATAATCATTGATGAAGAGAAATAATTTTAATCATTGTAACCAAAAATCATAATTAATTCAACAATTGTAATTTATATAATTACTCTGTTAATTATGACTGAATTAACAATATATTTTTTAAAATAACAATATATTTTTCTTTAGAAATTCCATATTATTGACCAAATTTGTTGGAGGTAAGTAATGTGTTCCCGAAAGGAAGGTCAATGTTAGCATCGCTAGCAGACGGAAGTGTTTCACCTTGCAGCGAAAGCCGGTGCAGGTCCTCGAGGAATGCGTGGTTCGTGTTCGCTATTGCGACGCGGTACGGAATGCGAAATGCATTTCGAGGTGTGGCATGAAGAGCAAATGTATCACTCACGGGTATAGTTTGGATCGAACCATCTGGATTTGCTAACCAAATTGTTTTTTCTGAATGACTTCCAATGTATTCAAAAAAATGTACTAAGGAAAAAGAATTAGAAAAAAAAAACAAATATTATTAATTTTGAAATTTATGCAACATGTTTTATTTATATTTAGAAAAAAATTGAACTTATTTTTAAATTATGAATATTTATACAAGTTTAAATTTTTATGAATACAATTACAAATATGAAATTAAAGTAAAAATCTATTTTATTCTTTAAATATTTTAGATATATATATATTTTTTTTATAAATTTTTATTTAATTAATTTAAATTTTCCATAAAATCATTGATGGTTTCAATCTAGTTATCCTTTTTCTTTTTATTTTTAAGTTATTCATTTTTTTATTTATCAATACGTTGCACGCCATCCATACATGTATCAATTATTTAATAATTATGTTTTTTTTTTCAAAGTTTCTTTAGCAACTTAATTTTTGAAATTTTTTTTGCACATCAAAGAAACAAAAGTAACAAAGAAAATCCGATAATTCTTCTCTTCTCATTTCATTGTTTTCTCAGAAGTGAACAAGTTAAATAGAACATTCTTAAATAGAACTGTCAAAACGATTATTAATGACTCACCCTATACACAAGACATTAACATTTTCACGCGACCAATGCTATGCACTCGCCATATTAACCTAGATTGTTTTCTTATGCAGCAATCATGCTAATACCGCGAAGCCTTGATCTTGAATAGGAGAGACAGAGAGCAACAAAACGAGAGAAAGAAAAGAAGAAAAAGCGTTATAGATCACGTTTAACGCAAGTGATCGAGAGAACTGGAAATACGAATTAATAAATACGATAACTCTCGTGAATCGATCCACGTGTTTCATATAGGTCTGTATGCCGTTTTTTTTATGTAAGTTACGTATCGATATCGAATGTGAAAGATTGATATTGAAGATCATAGGAGAAAAATTTAATTGATATAATTTTATTGATTTTCTGTTTTTCATCTTTAAATTTTTTTTAAATATAAAAATATTTAACATTAATTAATATCTATAAATAAACAATCATATCTTATATTTATATTCTAATTGATTTTAAAGCAGCAGCAGATATAAGTAAAAAAAGACAGTCAGAATGAACGTGAATATGTATAAATATATTTCTATATATATGCTGTGACAAAAATATATTCTAATTAATAAATAATTATTATATAATTCTAATTAAAAATAATTTAATAAATAAAATTTCGTACATAGTTATAAATAAAATACATGATCAAATATAAAAATATATTAATTTTATATAATACAATTTGACATGTAAATTATAAAAAAAATATTGATGGCTTAATCAGAATATGATTGTATTTCGAAATAATATTTAATTTTGTGATCGTACATATTTAAGAGAAAAGTGATCATTATGAAGTATTTGTATCCATTAAATTTTATTTTAAAGTTATACTCGCTTATTGGAATGCATTGTAATGTCAATTTTTGAAGTATCTATCGATATGCACTCTTGAAACATTCTACATTCTATCCATTCACTATGAATCCGCAATACATAATGTTTCATTTATTTAATGATAGTTCTCTTTGCTCCATGTTCCGGATAACTTCCTTTGAGTCTTCCAGTCCTCGAGTATGCTCAAAGATTCTCTTACTCAAGAGTAAATACTTACATGATCGTATATTTTTGATATAAGAATATTTTAAGATTTGTAAATTATAAATTATAAATTATTTATTTATTAAAATAAAATTTAATGGATACAACTACTTCATAATGAAAAGTTTACATTAAAGTATGTCCTATATGTAAATTTTTCATTTTCTCAATATTTTCAGAAAATAGATTTATATTATTTTCAAATAAATATTAATCAATATTAATCTAGTATTTTTTAACTTTTTTGAATTAATAACAATTAAAATTAATAACAATTTTTGTTTTGAAAAAATTTAATAATAGAATTTCCCCTTATCAGAAACCTAAATTCGTATATAAAAAATTAAATATTTTCTTTTAAATGAAAGAACGAATAATATATGTCCGTTTCGCAAAAATAAAGATTTAAAAATGGCGCGTTAAGTTTATGACGCGGGTACTTTTGGACGCGGAGTAAAGCTCTATGTACGTTAAAGGCCATGGCGACAGAACGTCGGAACAAGATGAGAAAGGTAGAACTGGTCGTGCGGCGGCCAAGGCACTTGTTACTCGAACGATCGTGGCCTCCTTTTCGGTCGTACACCTTCGCTAATTCACTTCACTTCCTCTATCCCCTTCGTTCTTCTCTTCTGCCTTTCCTCTATCATTTCTTTTCTCTCCGTTTATCCTATCCATCTTTCTTGTCTACTCTTTATATATAATCTCTACTTGTTCTTCTGCTATTTCTTTGACGGATTATTTTCGCGCGAGTTCTCGCGAGACATCATAATTATCGAGACTTGGTTCTCAATAATATTTGTTTTTCTTTGCTTCTTCTTATTTTTTTCTTATTTTTCTTAATATGATGTTAATATTATTAAAATCATAATCGAACAAGAAATTTGAATTCAAATTATAACAAGAATTTAAACAATTTGAACGAAGTTTTATAAAAATTTTCAAGTTATAAAGATTCGATCGTATTTTTTATTATAAAAAAGTGTATTATAATTGAAAAATATATTATAATAATTTTGAATAAATTGATTAGAATTTTTTTTTTGTGAATTATCTTATCGATTTATTTAATAATTCAGAAAGCCTGTTTCGAGAATCTGGTGAGAATCCTACAAAGAGAATTGTTCGTTAACAGGATGAAGGATGTGTCCTTGAATACGACTGCCATCTTTGGCGGCGACTTTGTGATACAAGCAGTACTGAAGTATACCATAGGATTGTTTTTGTACTTGAAACGCAATAAAATATTTAGTTGCAAATAACATTTATTTAGAATAATGTTACTAAATCTTTATAATTTATAGATTAATAACAAATATATTTTAAAATTTAGGTTAGATTTTAGATTAGATAATAATTTTTAGATGAAAACTTGAAACTATTTGTTTGAAATAATAATATATTTTAATTCGCAATATTCTTAACCTCTTGCATTAAACATTTATAAAAAAAAAAATTCATAAAGCACTAAAATCATAAAGATTATAAAAACTAACAATAAAAATATATATGATTATATCTTACATTAAAAATAAAAAAAAATCCAAATTAAGAATTCACGAAACATTATTCCAAAGAATATTGATTATCACTTGTATCATAATTTGTTCTTTATTTAAGAAATACATTATTAAGTAAAATGAATTCTCAAAGATCGAATACAATCTAAATTATATATAGAAGACAATCCAAATTATTTGAATTTCAAATTAATTTTTTCATTTGAAATAATATAAATTGAATTCATTCCATTCCAAAATAGCAATTTTTAATAAATAAATAATAAATAAAAATAATTAAATATTTTTTAATGTAAAATAAACAAAAATAAAATTATGAAATATTTGGAAGATTTTAGATATGCACAAACAATAATATTCTACAATACAATACAATTAAGGATTAATAAAATTAATATCAAAGAATTAAAATAAATCTTATTTATTATATAATATTTTATTATTATATTATTATTTCTTCAATATAAAGTATGCAGAAATAATGATAAGTTTGAAATATTTTAGGTTAGAAATTCTACAATAATAATTATTAAAGATTAATACAATCAACATCACAGAATTTGAATCAAATCTTATTCATCAAAAATTCTTTAATGGTATATTATTCACATAGCAATAACTTAACAAAAATCACAACAAAATTATTATAAAAACATAAACATAACTAAATAATTTTAATGTTGAGGTTTAGCCATATTCCATAAAAATATGACTTTGAATATTAAAGTTGGTAGCGAATGAAACTATGGAAATTCAAATCGATTCAAATCTGGCTTATAATTTTCAACTGGTATACAATTTTATTTGTGTATCTCTCATGAAATTGTAGAGAACTCGAACAATAAGATTCTTTGTATCTTGCGCGATTAGCAACGGTCATGATCGCACTGGCAATTTCTGAACATTTTGATGATTTCTAAGTGGCTGTTTCCATGAATCGAACAGCCAACCAGAGACACGCTATAGAAGAACGTAGTAATCTTGGCGCGAATCAACAGATTCGCATTACTCGAGGGACAACACGAATATCAAAGTATAAGCATCTTTGCACGTGAAATTAGCAATATATTATTTCACTGTAATTTAAATATGAGTTATGCGCATATAAAAGGAAGATACATCCTGTTTGTTGAGATCTTCATAAATTGTTTTATTAAGAAAGTCGACTTAATTTAAAAATAAAGATAATATTTGCATTGAAATAAAAATTTAATGGCTCATTGTATATATTATAGTTCAAACATTCAATAGTAAATGTAAAAATTTGAATGATTTTAGTTATTTTGATGAATTGATCGAATAATCAAAAGCAGCATTCGCATGAAATTATAAAATATTTTAAATTATATAATTTCAAATATCTTGAATTTATATATAATAACTTTGATTAATTTGAAGATTATTTGCATCAAAATTGTATTATTTTATTCTCTATTCCTATATATAAATAAATATATCGTGCGAGAGAGTATTGGTCCCATCACTAGACAGCGAACGCGAAACTCAACTGTGTGAGCAAGCGGAACGTGTCCTTGACTGCGCAAGTCCGCTATGTCCTACACACCCACCTACCGGACACCGTGAGCTGGAGCGGACCCCAACAGGAACGCACTGTGCACCGCTCCTGCCTGCGGGATCTGTATGCGTTCACCAAGCTTGATCGAAAACGAGAAAACGAGTGAAGTGAGAAAGAGAGAAAGAGCGAAAAAAGAACAGAAAGAGATAACCTCATCGAGCCAAGACGAATCATGCTCGAAGGAAAGACCGGGATTGTGGAATGATCTTAACGAGACGAGTATATACTAACAGGGAAGGAGCAATTTCTATGAGGTTCCGATCTTTCGATCCCGTTTTCTTCCCTTTAAAAGTCCTTATTGAATATATCGGTATTTTTTTCTACTACATAACCTCAAATGCTCTTGTAAGTAGAATTCTATTTATATCGATACGGAACAAGTCACATAATCTGATATATACATATAAATTCATACATATAATAGAAATTCTCTGATTATCTTTTACATTTGATTTTTCGTTCAAATAACCGGAGTTTAAATTCAAATAAGTCGATTTATTATATTTGTTTTAAAATCATTTATAAGAAATTACATATTTTTACATAAATTATACAATAGAATTTTATTGTACAGAAACTCTATTCATCTGAATCGTTGTTGATTTGATTGTTTCGTTGGATCAATCGTACGATTGTTTTTCAGAGAAGAAAACGATAGGCAGAACTTTCTTGTTCCTGGAGATGATAAAAGTCTTAGTTTCCGGTTCGTTGAACTGGAACTGAGACGAAGTGTATAAGATTCGGTCTACGGAGTTTGATCATAGACGACCGGCTCTTAGGTTAGAAGATATCCGGATTGCTTTGAAATTACCGCGCGTACGATTACCACGATGATTAATTAACGAATTATTCACTAATGAAATATAAGGTATTTATTTGAATTTATTGATATTTTAAAATGATATTGTCAAATGATATTCAAAATTATTATTTTAAAATAATTTTTAACGTTAATAATTTTTAAATATTTTATGATTTGAAAAACTTTGACGATTAAATTCAGGTTCTTTATTTGTTATTAAAAATTATAATTAGTAAAAAAAAAATTCTTTAATTCTCTAATTTCTATTTCTATTATTTAAATACATATTATTTAAATAATATCATATACTTATCTAACAAATTGTGTTATTAAAACTAAAGGAGATTCTTTTTATATTAACTTTGTAAGTACACAGAAAATATACAAAGTGGTTATACATACAAAATCATTCGGAGAGATTTTATAATTAAAAATAAGACAAAAATCAAAAATAACAAATTGCAATTCTTTTTAAAAAAATGAACTTCAAAATCATTCAAATATATATCTAATTATCATATCGAATATTCATATAATTAAATGAATAATTAAATAATTAATAAAGAATTATTCTAAAATTATTTTTTCTGAAAGTTAAAATATTCGTGGAATATTATCTTAAAAGCTTGATTAGAGACCAAAACATTATTTTTTTTAAGATTTATCTTTAATAAATTCAATAAAATTGACTTGTATATTGAATTGGATATGTTTTTATAAATATGTATAATTTTCAGATTAAGCTAATAGCATATAATTAAAAAATAAGAAAGCATTAAATATATTATTTTTTAATCGAAGTTTGATTATGAAATTTAGTTTTATAACATTTTGAATTGGCTTTTATAATTGCGATGCATCATGATGATCATATTAAATATCGATGTTCCTTTATTGGTTCCTAACCGGAAATAAAACTTGAACGGAAATAAATTCGTCGTTTTGTCATTGAGGAAGAAGTATGAATACATAATCGAAGTCTTCATGATTAAAAAACTTGATTATTCCTTTCATCTTCTAAAATATTAATAAAATATAGTTTTATGACTTTATAATTAAACATAATTTTTATATAATTTAGAAATAGAGAAAAATTTGTTTTTCTTTTATTTGGATTTATATATTATATATTTATATAAAATAAAACAAAATTTATATAAAATGTGTTGCATAAATATAAATTTTAAAGAACTTGGGTATTTGTTACTTTTTCTATATTAAAACAAAATAAAAAAAAAAACAGAAATTCTGGTAATAATATGAGACATGTTTTGAGAAAAATAAATTATGAAAATGAGTTCAAATATTAATAAATAAGTTTTAATCATATAAAATATAACAAATGCAGTGAAGTACATATATAATAATGGTATATGTAAATTTCATTCTGAACAATTACAATAGATCCATGAAATATTGTATTTATAATTCTAAATACCAATTCTTTACTTAAACTTTTCTTTTCTTTCTGTTTATATTTGTTTTTGATATTTGAATAATAATTAAAATCTATTTTATTATTTATTAATAAATTTCAAATGTTTCATAGTTATTATATTATTACAATTCATATTTATACATTCATTTATACAATTCATATTTCTTGTTTTTATACTACAATTAAAAACATTATAATACTATATTATCTGTTTACTTATAAGTAATATTATATAATATTAATTTATGTAATATTATTTAATAGTATTTTAATTAGTTATTATATAAGTAAATAATAAACATACTCCTTTTTTAAAATTCATTATACTTTATCTTTTGTACAAAAACATCACAAAAAAATGTTCCTATCATTAAAATAACCAATAAAATGAATTTTTTTTATTCTAAAAAGATTTGAAAAGATTATAATATTTGATAAGATTGAATATGATGAATAAAAACACTCATCGAAATTATGCAATACAATTCTTCAGCGTACAACGACGGTTATGCACTTGATCGTATACGACACAATTTTCGCAATAAAAAAATTGCTTTTAAATATGCATGAAGCAAATATTTCATCAAGATTGCAGTTCACGCGCGACATACTTGTGATTCATCGACTCTTATGTCGCACGTTCGAATTCTTTTCGTATCACAAGACATCGACGGTCAATTATTTTCTTATTGCTGTTTAATGCAATTTGACCAATATTTAATTCAACTTTGACTGAATTGGTTAAAAATAACAATTCAACATTTTCTTCTAAAAAATATAAAAATCCCTTATCCAGTTTCCTCTCACAATTGAGTTTAACTCAATAAATTAAGCTTGCATCAAATAAAACAAAATAGAGATTATAGAGAGCTATATAAGATAGTTACATTTTTATCACCTTTCAAAATTTCACAAATATACCAACACACAATATATATTTGATATATAATTTTAAAACTTAGACATAAATATTTATATAATAATAAAATAATTAAATTCTTTTAATGAATATCATATTGCATTTGGTTTTACCATCACAAATAATATATTATTACCGAAATGTGCATAGGTGCGGAAAAGTATTTGCAAATTCTAAGAACAAAAGAAACAAAATGTACATAGAAAAACATTGGCGGGAAGAGTTACAGCATCGGTGAGAAATGAAAAATACTCGGTGTTCGTGTATAATTAGCGGCCGTAGAGTTTCCTAGTCGCGACGTGATGGTCGAGGTGATTCGCGAGGAGGGAAAGGAGGAGTGGATGGATGGAAAGAGAAGGCAAGCGCAATGAATCAAAAGGAGAGGGACGAGTGAGAAAGAGGCAACGGAGAGAGGGCCACTGTCACTGCCAGGGCTACGGTGAGGTAATATCAGATTCCATGCCACGAGGCAGTTGGCCGCCATCTTGGTGTACGCTGTTCTCCAATGCGGTTCTGTCGCGTTCTTCCACCCAGATTCCTTTCGATTCGTTCACCGTGATTCGAATTACACAATTCCGCTTGATTTCTCATGCTCTTCGATTCCTTTTCACCAAGCGTACAAAAACGTTATTTTAAAACGGATTAATATAGAAAGGATGAGTTTTGGAATGTTAATAGCTATATTATAGCAAGAGATCAAAGAGAATTTAACCTAACTTGTGATTTAATTTATTTTTGTTTTTAAGAAAGAATTATATTGTTCTTTTCTTTTTTTTTTTTTGTTCAAATATCTAGCACTTGAAAAATTTGTTATTGCTACCATTTCCTTTGTTCCATTTTAATTAGAATGAATAAATTCTAGACTGTTTATCTAGATCTTTATAAGATTATAAGATTTTTATCTTCATTTGGAATTTCAAATATTGAAAAATTCCGTTTTGAGAGAAATAAAAGAGACGATGAATATATTTTAATTAAGGAAAACAATCTTAAAAGTAAACATTGCTCAATATAAATACTCTGACAAGTGATATACTCTGAAATTATAACTTAACTCCTTGACTGATAAAGAAATCATATAAAAATAAGGTGCTATTTTAATCTTTGGCGGAAAAATCATATAGAAACATAATTGTGCTTATCTAATTATTCTTTACAATACTCTTTATTACATATTTACTATATATAATATTCTACAATACTATTTAATTCTAATTATTCGTTCATAATAATTTTCATTAAAAACGAATTCAACTTTTTCCATATTATTATTTCCAGCCTATTTTTATTCCAATTACGCAAAAAAAAAAGGGGGTGTAGAGGCAAAAGTGCCGCGGCGCGGGAGGAGAATGGGCGAGAATTAGGAACGAGGAAACGTGCCGTGTTTAGCCAAGACTTGAGGCCGATGACATTCGTTCGAAACGAGGTTCCACGTACCACAAGCTTGTTTGTCCCGGCAACGGAGTTGTAGCCTTCGCTAGCGCACTAGGCTGGTATTCGTCTGGTTCTCGGGCAGAAAGGCGGAGAGAAAGAAGCGGACAAGGAGGATCGTAGAACGGAAAAGGAAGGGGCACGAAAAGCGGAGGTACGAAGAGGAGGCGATGCAGAAAGAGGCGATGAGGAGGAGGGGAGGGTGCGCAGGACGTTCACCTTTCCTCTATGGGCTTGCAAGAGGAGGCTGGTTCGGGCCGCCATTACACAATCGTCGGGCTCGCTTGTCCGCTCCTCGGCCACGGCCGCCATGTTGGTACCGGTCGGTGCGTCAACCATGGTTCAAGATCTTCACGGTGAAGGTCCCGCGGAGTTCCATAGACGGGTACGCTATGCCGTGCCGCGCATCGTGGAATGTCTCTTTCGTTTCACGTGTTTCCAGATCACGTCGATAACGTGAACCACGGATAAATAGTTGTAAATAGGCCTTATGTTTAAGAATAATTTCTTCTTTTTTTTTTTTAAAGAATGGAGATACTGGTTGATAATATTTACATTAATTTTCTCATAATTGAGACTGTTCGAATAATTTATTCGATATTTTACAATAATGAATAAGTATAATGAATACAATAAGAAATTCTATCCTATACCATATTAAATGTTAACAAAATTTTAATATTTAAAGAGTTAAATTATACTTTTCGAAATAATTTTAAAATTTATAATTTTAAAACAACAATTAAAATCTGTAATATATTGCATGCTGTATATATTTTTCAAGAATCGTAAAAAAGGAAGCAAGGATTAATTATATATCTACTAAAAAAAAAAAAAAATAAATAATTACAACGTTTCAAAGCGTGTCGGCAATTAAACAGTATCCAACGAATGAGTGCACCGCAGAATTACACGATTCAGCTCTTAAGCTACCGCACATTGAATTCGTGAAAATCACTTTCTTGGGTGGTCTATAGTTCGACGGGTATCATAAAATCCCGATACTTCGACGTAAGTAACATCGAAATTACGAAACGTATATACATTTTCCGTTTGCTACTTTTATCTTTTGCATCCATTTCCAGCCCATATGTTTTTACTATTCTCTCTCGAGCAACGAGATATCGACATTCGAAAGAAGATAAAAATGATCGAGTTTTATGGCGTAAAAGAGAAGGGTTTGATTATACGAATGAATATCGTGGGAGATTTGAACGCATGGATAGAAGGGACAAGCAAGGAGCGCCAGTTAAACCAGTATAGGCCAGCCGACGTATATACCGTTCATAAGTAAGTATTTTAAACATTCTATTTATGATATACTGTTGTTTTGTACTTAAATAATGATAGATTAATAATATAAAAATTGTTATAATTAGATATAAAGATGATATGCTGTGGTGTCTAACAGACGAATGAATTAAATGATTCAATGTGTGGATTTTATATACAGTATTCCACTTTTGTAATGAACCAAAAAAAAAAAAGGCAAGTAAATTCAATTTGAGATAAGAGATATATAAATGTAAATCTGAAATAAACAAAATTAAAATTCTTATTAAAGAAATATCTTTTCAAATAAAAAAAAAAAAAGTTCTTTTCTCGTTATATAATATATTTTAAAATTTGTATTAACGTCATAGTGTATATCTAGATATAGAATAATCATAAAAAATA